GCGTTTTGATTCTTAATTGAGGATAAATGTAGTTGTCTATGGGCCACAGTATTTACTTACCATCAGGCGATCTGTATGATCGTTTGTTACCCTTTTAATGTATTTATATTTTTATATAATGCATCTACGTTTTGAATCGAGGATTAGTACAAGTCTATTGGCCTACAGAATTTACTTATCATCAGATGAACTTTGTGTTCGTTTGTCACTGTTACTTCCATAACAAAGTGAAAAAAAGAAAGTAGGAAGTCTTTGAATGATATAAAACAACAATAAAAACGATTGGTCATACACCACAGCTTGTAATGGTATCATTATCAGATCAATTGCGTACTTACTTACTTATGAGCTATGTATCAGTCAGAAATCCTCAGTAGCAGACCGGAGTCAGGAAAATGCCGTTGTGTCACACCTATGCCTGGGAAAACATGCACCCGAACTCCTTCTGATCGTGAGGGACCGTGAGAGTGAGGGAATGGAGTATACACTTGTGCATGCACATACACTCGGGCACTATAATTCTAATACAAGGCAGATTGCTAGTCTGCGTTGAGACTATCCGCCGTAACCGAAATACAGTCTGGAGGCCATTATCATAAATATCGCACATTTAAGTAAAGTAAAGTAAAGTTATAGCCTATATACGTCCCACTGCTGAGCACAGGCCTCCCCTCATTTTTGAGAGGGTTTTAGGGCAAGGAAGGGTCCGCCACGCTGCCCCAATGCGTGTTGGCGAACTTCACATGTCTTCGAAATATTTTTTTTTCTTATTCCTCAGACATGCAGGTTTCCTCACGATGTTTTCCTTCACCTCCATGCACGTGGTAAATCAGCACTTAAAATTGCAATTAACAATTTTATTGGTGCTGGCGGGGATCGAACCCTGGTTACTCACGTTCTGATAATATTTACAGCGAGTGTTAACCATCTGAGCTATCACGGCTGTTGCACATTTATACTTACATATTATATTACACATAGTACATGTTGCTAATTCTGACAGTTAAACCTTTTCCACCCATCCGTTTATTTATCCGTTTACTTCGATCAATTATATACTAGATTAAGGATCAGGAACAAAAATAAGTCGTACAAGTGGCCATGTTTGCACACACATAAACATCTATCTATCTTAGAAAAAAGTTTAATAACATTAACAACTTCAGTTCATTATATACCTTAATAACACTCTAACATAAACTTTAATCACCTTTGCAAAATATATTTATTTAAGTCATTTCATCCGCGAAAGGTTAAAAGCAATAAGTTTAGAATGTCGCTTGAAAATAAAAAGTCATAGGTTACAAAAATATTTATTCTAAAATGAAACTTAAACTCTTAAATAATAAGGTTAAAACATTATGTTGACATTTTCGTGCTTACTCTAATTTGGTAGTAGACGTAGTTCTTGGTATTATATTTCAATGTTCGGAACACAGTGAGTACTGAAAGACGTAGAGTTGCAGAATGTAAATATTTTAGGGCAAGGGTCGTTTTGTATGTTGGCAAATATTTTTGACCGATTTATAAACGTAAAACGTAGTAGGACTAAGTAGTAGATTTTCAATGAAAGGTCGTCAATTTCTTTTTAAATACCTTTTTCTAGGAGTGTCGCATATCGATGTTAAATCTAATAATGATGCATCAGGAGACTTCAAGCAAACTGCATCAGCCCGAGGTACGTCACGTATTTTTGTGGTATCTTCAAAAGTTAAAGTTTTTTGAAAACAATTTTAAAGTGTTTCTTGAAAATACCTACAGGTATAGTTTTTTTTTCTGATAAAGATTTTTTTTAATTACCTGATTTGATAACTCTTTCGTCATTCTGAACATAAAGCTGATTGCACTTTTATTGGTCCGTGAATCTAAAAAAGTCATAAACAACTTACTTTTTTACCAAAAGCATTATCTTACACTAAAAATTTTACTACTTTATGATAATTACCTGCAATTTGGGAACCACTGTTTTTAGTAATCTACGTCTTTGCGTGTTTCCAGTTATGTCCAATCTATCAAAATGAATCTAAATATTTCCAACATTTTGGATGGGTTGTATATATAGTTCTTCTCCTCTTTCTTTCGCGATAATAGATACTCATTCTGCACAGCGGAATGGGTCCCTAGGAAATCTACAAACAAAAAAAATATATTAAATAATAATACTACTCCATGCATGTTTGTTCAAGAACAGTCGATGTTTGTTACAATAGTTGTTGCGTTGTAGCAAACATTGGCCAAACAATCATAATATTCGCTAATTGAATTATTTTTGCTATTTAATTCTGTTTTTATTTTGTGAAAAACAATGATATAAACTTACTGAAATAAAATTTCTTCCAAATTCTTGGTGTTACGGTGGTAATTTTCACAGTTTTTGAACGCGCGCACTGCGGCATTTCGACGTTTTAATGTTGGCTATGATTGGACTATACTAAATTGAAATAAGACTAAGACCACAGAAGTGTTTGTGGTCTTATTTTTCTGGCCGTTTTTGAAGCGCTCATCGGGAATCTAGTATATTATTGATGGAAGTCCGTTCATATAGCCTATGAAAGTCCACTGCGAACATATCCCCCCCCCCCCATAGATTAGCCACAGTTAAACACGCTTGGCAGGTAGGTGGGCAGCCACGGTTTTTTTAATTATTTTAAGTCATCATCAGAAGGATACTGCTGCCAATCTCCTGTTTCAGATCCCTCTCTTGCCTCTTACGACATACACGGTACGATATGAGGTAGTGGATATGAGGTAGTGGATATTTTTACATACCTTACTGTTACTCTATCTTTTTAAATATAAAATACTCACAATGCTCTTTACAATACATACATTACTAACCTTCCTACTAAAATTTCTTTAAACCACGTCAAGTAAGCTTATAATACTTGCGCTAGGAGCGGTTCATAACAGCAGTCGAATGGTGGATTCGAACCCACGACCTTTTATAAGTTCACACTCGACATCCTCTCATTGGGCTACTGTCGCATATCGCTTTAGTATGTATTAGCTTAACCTGTACTGGATGGTTTTTTTACCGTCTTGAAAAAAATAGAGTGTAACAGGTGAAGGGAATAGAAGAAATCTTACAATTTTTTTGCCTTTACGTTAACATATTATGATATTGAACTATTAATAAATACCACTAAAGTAAAAAGTAAAGTAAAGTTACAGCCTATATACGTCCCACTGCTGGGCTCAGGCCTCCCCTCATTTCTGAGAGGGTTTAGGGCGAGGAAGTGTCCGCCGCTCTGCCCAAATTCGTGTTTACGAACTTCACATGTCTTCGAAATATTTTTTTTCTTATTCCTCAGACATGCAGGTTTCCTCACGATGTTTTCCTTCACCGCCGAGCACGTGGTAAATCAGCACTTAAAATTGCAATTAACAATTTCATTGGTGCCGGCGGGGATCGAACCCGGGTTACTCGCGTTCTGTTATATTTACAGCGAGCGTTAACCACTGAGCTACCACGGCTCAAATGAAATACCAAAATGAAATACCACTAATTTACAATAAACTCGGTAATAAAAAAAATTAAAATAAATATTTTGAACTAAATAAATAAATATAAATCAATCAAAAACTATGGAAATTAAAATAAAGCGCACCCAATATAATATTTTAATGTAATAAGTTAATGTAAAAGAAATTGTAAAATATCAGTACCATAGGCTTCTAGTCCGTTCACCTGTTACACCATATTTTTCTCTAGCCTCGTACTGCTCACGCAAATTAGAACCTGTTTGGTAATTCTGCCCACTGTTCTCTCTTCAAAGTACAAAATCTTACAAGTACTTCCTGTCCAGAATAATTATAACAAAAAAAGATCTTGCATAAGATATAAATTTTTTATATTTTTTATGGCAGTAAATAGATCATAATGAAACGATTCACGCTATTTTTAAAATCATACATTTTGTTCTTTTTACAGTACATTGGGCAGATTTACCAAAATCAGGTGTATTTAATTTGTCCTTCATAAAAGACACTGGGTACAATGGGGCAAATAAAACAAGAGTAGCTTTTTATGTTATTTATTATGTATTCTTAATTAGTCCTGAATTTTCATCCCTTTATTTAGTAATTAATGTACTAACTTTTATTGCAGCCTCGCTGGACTTAAAAATAATTAAACAATTCAAACAAAAAATAAAAATAAACCAAAACCTTCTCTTAATTTTAATAAACTTTAAAAAATCAAATCCTTTTAAACAAATAGTTAGGTATGGAAATCAGCAAAGCAATTTCTTTGCTTAGTTAAGCGCAAGTTTATATGACATGAACTACATTTAAAGTGTTTTATTGTAATGGCAGGGCCTGCACCTGGACTGTTTCTATTCCAATATATGTTTGCCTGAGAAGTGCGGTGGCTCTTATTTGGAAGAGTTATAGTCGTTCTACCCCTTCTTCCTGGAATGTTCTGGTTAGTCTGTAGGTCACTATCATCAGAGCTCTCTTGATTGTTTATGCTTCGAAGGATTTCTTCTAAAAAATCTTCTCCAAGTTGTGATTTAAATTCTCGAAGCCTCAGTATTTTTTTCACTGGTACACCTTTTTTATCTCATCTTTTTTAAATAGAAGCCAACTGTCACTGACAGCCAAATCAATCATACGAGGCAAGAATTTCTGTGTCCATTTATTAGTTTTGTATCTATTAGGGCAGACTGCAAGTAAGCGATCGGCTAAATCATTTGTTGTATTCGCGTACAACTTGTGGTCTTGTAATAGTTAGATATTAGATATGTTTAGATATGTCAGTTGACACATATTGTTAATGTTCCGTCGTCGAAGTACTGACTAAAATCGTCAATTTTGGAAAAATGTTCTGAATTAATGGGCTGGTATGACGGTTCTGTTAAAAAACTTTGAATATGAGAAAATTCTTGCTGAGACCAGTCCGTAGTTTACGGTATAATGTCTATTCTGCTTCCAGTGCTGTCACGTGTACGCCAACGTGACCTCCCTCTTGACCGTCCATGATAAACGCCCCGCGTGCCTCGTCAAGTCCTTCCGCGAGCTTGTATAAATGATGTACTAACATCAGGTCCATCACTTTTTTCCTCCGTAGAACTCATACTGCTTTCTGGTCGTATAAATTCCGGATCGTGGAAATCATCATCGGAAGGTATGAAGTCCCCAATATCGGAATCTTCTAATAAATTGCCGATGGCTTCATCGTCCAATTCTGCGAAAAAATCACAATTTACCGAAAAGTTCTGCCCGATGTGATTTTTGAATCACATAACATTATTCATGTTTACTAAAAATACAATAATTAACGAAAATCAAAAATAGTTACAAAAGTCAAAGTATTGATTATTTAACTTTAATGCTGTTTATTTTTAATAAAGAAAAGCCACCGATCTAAATGATAGTAAGAGATTAAACATACCTCTTCTCCGACGTGACTCGCTCTTTAACACGTGAATGGCTTCTGACGTTATTCTGTTGTCTGTTACTCTAATTCTCTAATCACAGGAAACTTCAAAAATGACAGCTGAATAGAAAATACAAATTCTAGGCGCGAAATTTGAATATGTGATTTTTGAAGGACAGTGGGCAGAATTTAGAACTTAACAATATTTTAGATGGGCAGGATCAGTGAAGTATGTTTTGTGATTTTGAAATCACAATGGGCAGGACGAGGCTAGACGGTAAAAAAAATCACTCAGTATATATGTATGTATATGAATTTAACGGTATTTTATAATTTCGTTTTCACCTACTTCATAACGTCTAAAATCTCTATAACGTTTAAGAACCGACGATAATGCAATAAATTCGTGATGAGACTTAGCTGATTATGATGATCACAGCTCATGATCAGTGCGTATTGTTTAGTTTTAATTTATTTAACCATATTATTATAACTTGTACAACTTTCACATACCTTCCTAATCTGGATATAATTGTGATCTGGATCTGGGATCGAACTTGTAATGCTCGCGTTCTATAAAATTTGTGGCGACCACATAGACCATTAGCTACTAAATCCTCTTAATATTAAAGCTAAGCTTAATGATTGAGAATCGTCTTGAATCAAAATTAGTTTTAAGCTTTCTATTAGCATCTACACCGTATAAAAAAATTATTTCTATTTGAATTATGTTGTACCAATTTTCTTAATTCTTAGTAAGAGCGGTGGTACCTCAGATGGTTAGCGCTCGCTGTAAATTTCACAGTACGTGAGCAAACCGGGTTCGATCCTCGACGGCAGCAATGAAATAGTTAATTCCAATTTTAAGTGCTGATTTACCACGTGCTCGGCGGTGAAGGAAAACATCGTAGACTGAGAAATAGGAAAAAAAATTCGAAGACGTGTGAAGTACGCCAACACGTATTGGAGCAGCGCGGCGGACACTTCCTTACCCTAATACTCTCTCAAAAATGAAAAGGCCTGTGCTCAGCTGTGGGACCTATATAGGCTGTAACTTTAACATTTTTTTAATTATTTCTTTTTCTTTGTTACAGGTAACGAACAGTAACTTTATAACAGCAGGAGAAAAATTAGGTCAAGACTTATTGGACGGTATAAAATACAAATGGATTTATAGTAAGTGGTCAATACTCGTACACTGTTCGCCACCAAATTTTACTAAAAACTACTCAAAACATGGGTTCAGTGTTTGTCGGGATGTCTCCTAAAGAGGTTTCTCGTGAGATTGTTTCAGGTGATATTTTACGTACGTGATTGAAATTTGGCAAACTTATTTTATGCAGTAATCTTAAAGACGTGAATTTCATAATTAGAATTTGCGGCCATTTCCGGCTAACAGATTTTGCAAGTTTTACGGTAATGAGTTTTTTCAAAAAATTTCCTTTAAAAAGCATATTTTTCAAATATGCTCTTTTGAAAAATATGCTTTTTAAAGGATATTTTTCAAAAGCTCGATAAGTAATAAAACCTCTTGTGTACCATCTATTTTTGAATATTTTTTAATTGTTTCTATGTTTAACATTGCTATACTGCTGAGAAATTTTGGTAAAAGGGTTCACGAATGTAGAAAAGTACTAATGAAGTATGGAAAAATACTAATATAATTACAAAAGTTTAATATATGTTGGGAAGAAAGATGGGGAAGAAAGGATCTCGATTACCAGCCTCACTAGATGGAGTGACAATCTGGTAATACATGCAGGAAGTCCATAGATGCATGTGGCTCGGGATATTCTTTGTGGCTTTCCTTGGGGGGGAGGCCTATGTTCAGCAGTGGATTATGGAAGGATGTTATGCTGCCTTTCTTTCCTTCCACTATTGTCAAAAGGATCGTTCCAAAATTGCAAAATAGAATTAGAATAAGCCAAGATTTATAAGGCTACGTGTGTAAAAGTGATCGGTCAGTTAAACTATCAGACGTTCATCAAATCGGCTAGTCTCATAGCTTGTGACGAGGCACATATTTATAAGGCTACGTGTGTAAAAGTGATCGGTCAGTTAAACTATCAGACGTTCATCAAATCGGCTAGTCTCATAGCTTGTGACGAGGCACATACTCGTAATTCCATGGGGTTATGCCTGTAGTATTGTAGGAAAGACGCGCATGAGCCCGGTTGATGGTCGACCGATTGCCTACAAGTTAGCCTCACGCTTCTAATTTTGGGATGAGATTTTAAATCTTTGTAGGGCCGAACAAATTGACCCGTCACTAGTCTTGAACTTAATAATGTATACACACAATAGTTCTGCGTGTGTCTACTAATGCGTCAAACTTATTTCTTATACGTATTCTAAGTGGAAGAACACAAACACATGGAAGAAGTAAACAGTGATCGCAATTCGCGCGTTAAAGTTGATCGCCCTACGAACAAACTTTCCAAAATAGGCCGATGACATTAGCTTCCTTGTTTGGGTAAGAATTAAAAAATCTTACAATTCGATTAATTCTTACGAAATATTTAATATTTTTAGTGTGGTGATGACGACACAGAACACTATGAATTGTGCACGTAGCACGTAGAATTTTTATTATCATTGTTTGCAGGACTATAAATTATTCCAAATTAGAGGTGAGTGAGTAAGAAGTACTTAGGAGGTGAGGGCTTAAATTTCCATAAAAAATAAAATAAAATGTAATGCATTGTTACGTTGGAACCCGGAATTTGTTCTCAATTTCGATCAAGGACAGAATTAGGATTAAAATTGGTGTCAAATCCAAAAAAACATCAGTTTTGAATCTGACATATCAGGCCAAAAACTATAAAAGAAAGAACGAAGAAGTGCAAGTATTCGAGAAACTTAGTGACTGTAACCTGACTTTGAACTTATAAAATCCAAACTTAAGACATACAAAGAAATAACTTTGCACTTGCAGATCTCTCTGTGAACTTATTTCTCGCGGTTTTATATATATGGTTAATAAAATAAAAAAAATAACACCTCTTTATTTCAGACAAACATTGATAATTGTTAGTAGGTACAAGAAAGTTATAGCTATGTTACCAATAATTAAGTACAGACACGAATAATTAGTTTAAATACAAACCAGACCTGCCTGAGGCACTAGGTTTATGTACATACATGGTCACCCAGTATCCCATAACAGGACAATCTGGTTTGTCGCTATAAATTAATACTTCTAGCTCTGCTCTGTTCTTGAAGTATTCTACAGTACGATTAAAATATTGATACTACGTAATTATGGTTTTTAAAACAACTTTATACTTAAAATAATATTTAGCTACGTAGATCAAGAGTTTACGATGTAAAGAAGTTTTACGCAGGTATGCACATTCGTATTGTAAAATATCGATAAGATAAAATTTGCATAACTGGATTACCTGTTAAAACTTGGAATGGTTATAAGTTGAAACAGAAAAATATTTGCCTACTTAACAAAATTAGAAAGTATATTTCCTTGATTAATGGTTCGTTCACGCCTAAAGCTACGATTCGTAAGTAATTCCCCTAAGTACGACTACTACTCGCCGCAATCATTTATTTCCGGCTTCAGGGCGCCGCATTGATAACGAGTAAAAGATGAGGCGTACTATTGTGATGGTATCGGTTACGGTCACGCAACCTGGGATCCCTGATAAGCCAAGTTCGCGTAGTTCATTAAGACTGATATCAATTACTTTATCACTATTTCCAAGTATTTTACTGCCAGTTTTCACTTTCAGCAATTTTTGAATATTAGGAATTTTTATTTGAATGTAACTAGCAGTTGTGAGCTGTAGTGGTAGTGTAACAGAATTACCTACCAACTCGAAAATGCCAGGAGGATCTACTTATTTCCAATAGATGGCGGTTTAACCATACTAACAAAGAGAACAGCGTCAAACGTATAATGTAGGACGAAACAAGCACATTGGCGATCGATTAAGATAAATGAATATGTATAAAACAATTGTTTGGTAAATAGCAAATAGTGAATTGTTTTCGGAAATACGTGATTATTGATATTACTATATAGATATATGATTAGTAACTTTTTTAAACCGATACTGATTAGCAATACTTGCTCTGTCCTCGCACCTACCAACTTCAAAACTAAAATCTCATTCTTCCAGCCCATTTGTCATGTCTATAAAAGTATATAATAAATTACCCGAATGTATAAAAACATTAAAGACGAAAAAACATTTGTAAAAAATTAAAGCAACTACTTATAAACAAGTGTTACTATAGTACTTCTGAATTTTTAGAAGATAAAAGTATAATATAATATTAAATATAAATGATATGTTAGGTAATAATGAAATGCCATCCTACTAAATAAATTACCTACAATAAAAAATTCTAATAAAATTTTTAAATGATTCAAATTATTTAATAAAAATTCAACTGTGCTAATTGTACTACCTATAATAATAAATTAAATGTCAAAATCAATTAAAAGATAATAACAACTATAATAGCCGTATTCCAAATTCAATGTGTGTATGTTTATATAATATAATGAATGTTAATATTAAATAATTATTTAACAATAATAATAATAAAACAAAATAAATGTTCCTCCTTCATAATATTGCTGTGCCCATCAGGGTCTATACAGATACCATAAAACTATGTAACACCTTTTGTAACCTATGGAATGCAATAAAGTTATTGAGTACTTAGTACCTTTACGGTTTAAATTTCAAGATAGTTGTGTAGGTGTGTAGTTCGCGTGCGATCCAAACATCGTACCCTCTTGCTTTCTATTTTAATTTAAATAAAAAAAAATCACTGCTATAAAGCTTGCGTTTTATAAGCTTCTTAATAAGGAAGTTGTTGAAAACATTTGCATTTAAAAACATAAGTAACATAAATAATTCCCCTTTATTACAGTCTCCTGTAGCTTGATTTTAAATACTTGATACGTGTTCCTTAAAGTTGCCTAAACAGAATGTTAAACTAAAATAATCGAAAATAGACCTTATCATCATCGATTTGGGAAGCATTACAGCTTAATTTGGTATGAACATTCAAGAAGTTCGCGTGTCGAAATGTTCAACATAATTGTTACCTGCCAACAACAATTCAAGCTTAACGCTTTTTTTAGAAAAGCCACACGGCATTTACAAATATTTTTATTTTGCATTCGCTTCGTGGTTATTAATTACGGAATTGTTTTATTTTTTAAAGTAGGCCTACAATGTCTACTTTAAATAAGAGTATCAAAGTAAAATACAGTTTTTTTTATAAAAAGAAGAATGACGATCGGATCAGTGATCTGGAGTATAAGTGGAACGGCTAAATGGCCATCTCCTGTTTCACTCATCTCTCACAAAACCCACGTAATGATATAGGGTATTAAATTCTTATACTCCGCCACTAAACGACCATGTCGATATGTGATAATGATGATTATGTTAATCGAAAATAGCTTTACGAGTCCTTATGAAATTGTGGGTATTTCGTATCTACATTTGCAAACGACAGTCCTCATCCTCTTGCTTCATCTACTCTCGTAACTCATACATGTTTGACGAGTTTAAATATTTTATTAAACAAAAACTGTATAAAAGGGATTATTATTTAACATAAATTTATACATAGTTAATAATAGCCCCTGAAAATTAGAAGATCGCTGCCAAGCTATTTCTTATATGAGTGTTGTAAACAATTGTACAACAAATTTTATAGTGTATAATGTTACTGTGGAAAAAAGTCGCGCTGGGTTTCTTGACCCTTGCTTCTCCTCAACACAGAGGCCTTTTATAATCAGTGGCCAAATTCCGATTCCGATGCCAATGCACCACGCGTTCAAAATAAAAATGCTTTAGGATGATGGAATCTGTAAGGATAACGTTAATTAACACTATATATATATATATATATATATATATATATATATATATATATATATATATATATATATATATATATATATATATATATATATTACATTCGATCTTTAATGAACATAGGCCGCTTGGTGTGACTCCCATTAGATACTTTTATAGCTTTAGCCTAAGAATCAAAATTGAGACAAAATGATTTATTGTAACCTACGACGTACTAGTTTTTTATTAGTCGCTGCATCCTTACATCAGGTCAGATTGTGTAATTTACAGAAGCTTTGTGGAAACATGAGGAGAGAGAGCGTCTTTGCATGGAATTATCTGAGCTACTTTCTTCGTTAATTACAACTATGGACTGTAAAATATTACAGAGTTCACAATCGATCTTAGCTATATACACATAGACTACAAATAAATTCAACCTTATTTCAAACCAAAATGTATTTTGGATATCCCAAACTTGTCGATATTTACAAACGTACTCGCGTTCTGCATCCCCGAATAAATCTTTTAACGGTTGGCCGAACTCTATCCTTAAAATAAATGCCCCCTGTCTGCTTAATATATTTACTGTGCTCCCAGTTCCCTCCGATCTGGCTACGCTCTGCTATAAATTTGCAGTTTCTTTTATAAATTTACATCACGCATGCTAAAGTAAAAATAAGTCTGGAAGAGCCTGGAAGAGTATATATATATATATATATATATATATATATATATATATATATATATATATATATATATATATATATATATATATTGCTGTGACCGTAGTTCGGTCTGCAGGACATTTTTATATGGTTTATACTGCGCTTGGTACTAGTAATTTTACTTTCAAACTTGTTTTCTTAACCTTACATTTATCTACATATAATATGGACGTCCGAATATCCTCAAATTTTCATACTGAATGTTATTTGACACCCGTATTTTTGAATTTAGTTATATTTTTATAAATGTAGATGCGCACGTCAGCTTATCGGTTTATTTCATGCTGCACTATATTTTAACGTTTTACATTTGGTACTAATCTGCCTAAAAGAACTCTTGTTAGGTATTTCGTAAGCAACCCATAATTCTGTTTGAGTATAAGTCTGATTGAGTACAGGAAGATGGACTCAATTGTAGATATTGACAGGTTTCATAGAAGTTTGTTTTATTATATTGTGACTAATAACCTAATATGGTCTGGCGAAGAAACTCATTTTAATATAAGGTTTTACTGCATTAACTGCCAATAGGTTGTTAATTTCTACAATAGACCGTGGCATATTGTTGCAGACATAACTCTAAAAATATAATTTATTTACTTGATCTTGTTGAGTTTTGGAGCTCTCACTGCATCTTAAGGATAAGTGCGACTATTGTACCTAATCTGTACGAAATTACTCTCTACTTAACTAGATTCATTTTTGTGAAAGGCTGTTTTTGTTAAACTATGATAATATTATTATGTTTGGTTTTGCAGTTAGTTGAAATAAAATTTAATTTTTTACACACGTTTTCTAAGCTTCTAAGCGTTTTATCATTTCTAGAACGAAACATTTTATAAAACACCAAAATGACTATTTTATACCGCATGGCCTCCCTACACTAAAATACGAATAAAACAGTAGCAAAAAAGTTTCATTAAAGCAATGATCATTAATGTGTGTCTAATAAACAAGGAATTAAAATATAAATATATTCATGGTTATATGAACGTCAAATATCACGCGTTATTAAACTTTACCGATAATCTGACGTCTACATATAGAAATATAACAAAATTCAAAAATATGGACGTCCAATATCATTCAGTATTAATGTTTTAGGATATTCGGCCGTCCATATTATTATGTGTACACAGGTAGTAATTTAAAGTTAAAATTAGGCACACAGTGCCCCAAAAACCGCTACAAACGGCAACATTTATCAAAAAAGAAATAAGAAAGGTTTTCTAAGCGTTTTATCGTTTTTAGAATGGAGCATTTTATGAAACAACAAAGTGACTATTTCAAACCGCATGGGCTCCCCACACTAAAATAAAAATAAAACAATACCGAAAAATGTCATTAAAGTAATGAAAATTAAAGTTTAAAAAATTAAAGTAATGACAAGAAATTAAAATATAAATATATTCATGGTTATATGGACGTCAAATATCGTGCGGTATGTAAAACTTTACCGATAATCTGACGTCCACATATAGAAATATAACAAAATTCAAAAATATGGACGTCAAATATAATTCAGTATGAATGTTTTAAGATATTCGCACGTCCATATTATTATATGTAGCTAAATTTAAGGACACGAAAACAAATTGGAAAGTAAAATTATCTACTAGCACTGAGTACAGTATACACCGACAAAAATACCAAAATATGCCTTGAGCACTAATAAATAATTAAAATAAATAAATAGTAAAATGCAATAATCAAGAATAACCTTGGATATCGAAGAAGTGAACATCAAATAAAACTTAGTGTGATAATTTTAGGATATTCTTAGGTCCGTATATGGGTAAATACTCCGTTCAATGTCCATGTTAAGTATATTAATCAAATTACACAAGTTTATTTACCCAAGTTACTAAATATAACCAAAGAAACTTAAATGCAAGCAAGCATAAGCATGGAAAGTTCTCAATGTGCGTAGGTCACAATACGGACGCCAATTAGAGCACAATATGCATGTTTTTAGTAATATAGCGTTCCAATATTTACAACAACAAACACAAACAAATTGTATTTCAATTAACTGCAAAACCAAACATAATATCATAATTTAACAAAAATAGCCTTTCACAAAAATGAATCTAGTTAAGTAGAGAGTAATTTTGTACAGATTAGGTAAATAATTCGCACTCATCCATAAGATAGTGATAATAAAACGTAAACTCGCAGTGAGAGCACCAAAACTCAATACGAGCAAGTATGTAAATAAATTATATTTTCAGTTATTCATGTCAGCAAAAATACGCCACAGAAATTAACAACCTGTCAATGTCTACAATTAGTACTTATTTACAATAGTAAAATAAATAATAATATCTATAGTCAATCTATAATGTATCACGGCTGGGCAATCCTAGATATTTTTTCGTATTTAGTAAACGAATAACTAGTTGGTAAATTAATCATGATATCTATCTGTTTTTTTTCGCCGGAGACAAAAATGATATTGCGTATTTTTCGTAACTGCACATTCTGTGGATTTATTTCATTATTTTGAGCAATATACGAAACTTAAGTGACTAATTGGAATCTCGGAAACGGCTTCAACGATTTTCATAAAATGTCGTTTTGTCCCCGTTTTCAGGCAATGAAAAACTGCTACAATATAAGAAGGTAAATTTTAACACTCTAATATTGATCGTAATAGCTCAAGTGGATATCGCACTGTCGTGAAATCGTAGTTCCCTGGTTCGCGTTTTGTCTTAGGATTGACTTTTTTCCCTTTTTTTCAAGTTCATTTCTTTTGTGAGAAAATCTATTATTTCGACCCCTTTTTTGTAGTATTTTTTTTTAAAATAAGAAAATATTATTGCACTCATGATTTTTCATTTTAATAACCAGTTCAGTTTTTTCTATTATGTCGGTAAGATCAAAAAATATTCTTCATATTTTATCAGTATGTATTTTTAATCCAAATATGACTTCCAAAACACACGATTTCCAAAAAAAAAATACCGAGAAATGCTTGGTCATCCAGGTACCATACAATATAATATATACAAATCTTCCTACAATTCTATATGAATAGGGTTGCGTTCAGAACACAAGATCTAGAACACTAAAATGTACAAAAATTTACTTATCTTTTCATTTCAACGTTATCTTTATATTTCTGGTCGAATTGGCCGACGAATAAGAAAAATATAACTCAGATTAGAATAAGCTATTTATTTATAAACAATAAAGCACGAAACAGAAAAAAGGATTTTATGTAACTGAATTATATTTGTTTCTGAACGCACCATAAGGTATGACGTAGTGACGAGTGAACTTGAGCCCTACAAAATATAACAAACTAATAATGTGTGCCTGTCTGAAACTGTTTGCAAAATGCGTAAAGGGTGTTTAATGTAACCCGGCAAAACCATATTTAGCAAATGTTTGTAAGTTTAATTTTGTGACTACTTTGGTAGTTTACCGATTTATAATAATTGTATTTATTGCTGACCAAAAACATATTCAAACATATATGATACACTGACACGTATGACGTAGGTAATCAGTATTGTGACGATATTTCAGAAAAATCACGGGCCAGCCTGCTGTTAATAATAC